ACACAACAAACCAGCTGTGCTGATACATCAAATGTTAACGTTAATGTTTTCCCGACATCTTTCCACAGGCTGCAGAGACAAGAAACAAGGAGCTGGAGGGGAGAATAGAGGGTCTTCAGCTGGACATAGACGACAGCCGACAAAAGCAAGGAAACATGAAGATCGAGCTGAAGAAGTTGATGGATGTTCTAGATGGAAAGCTAGATGAGCTGCAAGAGTTCAGGCAGGGGCTCTCTAAGCTGGGTGCTGATAACTGAGTAAAAGTAGCACTGAGCTAAAAGGGTCGGAGGTCAGGTACGAAGGATTCACTACAGGGCAGAAACTGTGTGGCACCTATTCCCCCAAGGTGACGTCCACACAGACACAATTCAGCTTTGGCTTCTAATAAACACTACCTTGTGAGAAAGAGATGTTTTTGAGAGAGGGAGAGAGAGACTGGCAGACTAAAAGGAGGGAGGAAGGCCAGTGCACTCCACCAAATGGCTCGATTTCGTGTGCTGGCATTGCAAAACTAAATCAAGAGTCACACTTTGAGCTTACTTAACCGTTTCTGTGGGGGAAAACAGGTTTAAAAAGCCGGTGGTGGGTTCTTAGATTCTGTCCATCTGTCTTTCTTCTGTTTTGTTTTTTTTCCTGAAGGCAGCACTTCTGCACAAGGAAGTCTGAGCTTAGAGTAGAGGAGGGGACTTAAAGGGCTAAAATGAACAACAGAGACAATGCTGCTCAGCATCACTCAAGTAATAATTGGTGTTAATCTTTGTGTCCCGCTCGAGAATTAAAGGTGAAATCTTTGTACAGGCTGTCCTCGCTGTTGCCTCTCTCCTATCTCAGGTGTGTTCGAAGACAGTTTGTACTTATTAGATTATATGCACATATGTGACAAACGGCCGTGACACAAAGTGCCTCCAGGTGAGCTTAAACCAACCTGGTGAGGAGAACTGGCCAATCGATGACCATCACCATAATAACAACTTTTCTTTCTTTTTGTTGTTGTTGAGAAAACCTGAAGATACATTAAAATTCTTGCTAATAAACTGAGATGAAAAAGGAGACAAGCATCCACACCCCGAGGGTGTTAATGAGATGAGAAACGTAAATGATGAAAGCCACGTTTAAAAATAAATAAATAAAATAAAAATAAGAGCCCTCAGCTGACTTTATCAACTCTCTTTTATGTAAACACTTTTTTTGATTAGATTAAAGAAGGAAAACACTTTTCCCGGGAGCTTTCCTTCCAGAACATCCAGAATAATATTGGGAACCCCGTATAGCCATGAGTGTAGTGTTTAAAGGACTTTGTGTGTGCGCGCAGTAGTATTGCTCATTTGCAGAACAAAGATGTCTCCAAGGCTCTCGATGTGCTTCCTACACACTCGGTTTTTGTTATGGTGGTGGTTATTTTTGGGTGAGGGGACTCGGTGCTGCTCGATGGGTGGATGATGTGAAAGTGTACTTCACTTTAGATGGCATGGGGCTTTTCACTAAAAACCTGTCAAAATTTTGTTTTGTTTTGTTTTTTGCAAGGGGAGAGGGATGTTTTATGCATTTATTTATTTTTGGTGCCTCTCTACAACGACCATTTCTAGAACATAAGAAGTAAATCAACCTTAACCTAATGTCTCCACGGGTGTACGATAACATATTAAAGAAGTCAGGAGGTTTTCAGGATGATGACACAGCTGCTTCTAGGAAGTCCATCTTGAAACTTGCTCCATTTGAAATCAAAGGCACATGTTGTAGTGACATATTTACTCTGTAATACCAAGTCTTTATTTTTCATCACTGTTTCAATCTTGTCTTAAAGTTGAGATATCCAATGAAGGGATTTTTTTTTTCTCTTTCTGTTTTGCCCTCCTGTTTGTAACTCACCTGAATCTGGATAACACGATGTATGATCCTTCCTTTTGAACCGATGCCTCTTGTGCACTTTTGTGATTCCTGTTCAATATTGTACAGTAGAACTGACAATTGGTAAAATTTAGTTTAATTACACTGCTGAGTTAGTGTCTTTTCTGTAGGGGGATACATTTTTGGAAAGGGCTCCACAGAGAGAAGATGGAAGGTTTCCCTAATACCTACTTAGCTGCATATTAGTGCTGTGGGTTCTGTGTAGGAAACTTAAAAAAAAAAAAAAGCTTACAAACACGCTGCCTGACATTTTATAAGTCTTGAGGCATTTTTCCTGGACAGAAGCACAGAGGAGGTGGAATGAACCTACAGTGCCAGAGCTGAGTCCCGTCGAGCACAGAATCTCCGCCACCGCACGATTTACATACCACTAAATATAGCTGTAATCCACGCATAAGCAAAGCAGATGAGGTGGGATTCAATCAGTCAATGATGTATCAATTTCTGAGATTAGAACAAATAAAGCACATAAAGATAAAAGCTGATTTGAGGACTGATGGAAAACACCTTAAACGTCCTCCGAGCTCAGAGAAAATAACTGCAGTAGTGGATCAGAGGACAGGTTGCCTTGGTAACTTAATCCTACTGACTTTTATTTTTCTTGTGTAAATAACTGTGTGAATGATGGACTGAGGGATGTACCAGTTTTACTTTGTTGATTTAAAAACAAAAAACAATCAGACCCTTGGAAACTGGACTCCCATTTAGAGTCTAATTTGTTTTCACCTTCAGAGATCAGCTGGTTTACAAGGGGGAAATTAATCAATACGCAGTTTAAGCACCAATTTAGTGTTGAAATGATGAGATAATTGACCAATTAATTCAGTCAATTGGAAATTAACTGCTGTAGGAATGCAGCTATGATTTTCACTGCAAATTACTCGGATTTTTCTGATGAATCACTTTGTTTATTATATGAAATGTAAAAGGAAAAAGTCAAATCCGAGACGTTTTGAAAAGACGTCTTTTGTGCAGCCAACAGTGCAAAATCCAAAGACATTTGATCTAGAGTGATTCAAAAAAGAGAAAACTGCTACAACTGAATAACAACCAACAATGACATTATTTAAATGAGAGACTCCGATATGGAGACTCCTCATTTTTAGAATTGTTTTTGGTTGAGAGTTTAGTAAAGTTCAGACAGCTGTGGAAACACCATAAACGATAGTTAAGACACGTTACCAGGTTGGACCTTCAAAACTGACTTCATTCTTCATGGAACAGATTCAACAAGGTACTGGAAACATTCCTCAGATATTTTGCTGCATATTGAGTCGACACCATCACACAGTTGTGCAGATTTGCCGGCTGCACATCCATGATGTTCCACAACATCCCAACGGTGCTCTGCTGGAGCAAAATCTGGTGACTGTGGAGGCCATTCGGGCACAGTAAACTCATTTCGTTCAAAAAACCAGTTTGAGATGATTTGCGCTTGTTGATATGGCACATTATCCTGCTAGAAGTAGCCATCAGAAGATGGGTACACAATGTTCATCTGGTACTGAGGGATTTACACCACTACCTTGACCCACTGATACGAGGCAAGGTGAATCTTTTTTCCATGTTTGTTAAATTCGGACTCCGTGTGAATTTTGCTGCAGAAATCAAGACTCATCGGAACAAGCAACATTTTTCTAATTTCCTGTCGTCCAGTTTTAGTGACCCTGTGTGAACTGTAGCCTCTGTTTCTGTTCTCAGCTGGTAGTGGTCTTCAGCTGCTGAGGCATTTTTGCCAAGAGAACTGTCGCTCATGATTTCAGCACTTTTCTTTTTTTTTACACCATCCTCTGTAAACCCGAGAGATGGCCGTACAAGAGTGCTACTTTCAAAGTCACTTTCTTCTTCATTCTGAGGCTCAGAGTGAACTTCACCAGGCCGCCCTGGCCATGTCTGGATGTCTAAAGGCTTTGAGCTGCTACCATGCGACTGGCCAATTAGATTACAGTATTTGTAATAATGAGCAGTTGAACAGGTGTACCTAACAAAGTGGTCAGCAAATGTATATTAAGTTAAACAAAAAAAAAAATGGTGTGGTGAACATTTCTTACTATTTTACTAATTTTATGAACAATTTATTTTTTAATTAATGTCACATGAATACGCATGAATGTCCTTGAGGTCAGCAGGTTCCCAGACTGTTTGCAGCCTTACTGAACACCTGAACACTGTCAGCCAGAGTAACAAACTACACAATGGACCGCCGTGAAAGTAGGAAATCTGGGTAGATATTCATGCCCACCTTAGGATGAACCCTTCTCACCCAAGTCACCCTTTTGTCTTTTTGTCTGGCGCCACCAGCAGGTCGCCATTTTGACCATATATCTGACACGCATGCTGATAATGATCTCATTACACACAATTAGGGCTTAAATACCAATTTGGAAAAAAAAATTGTACTTCTGCTCCTCAACTTTCAGCCTCACTCCCAATCGATACTGGTAGAGCAGAAACGGCCTCTCGTTCTCTCTGCTGCTCATCGCTGTCTGACTCTCAGCTCTCATTGTGTGACTGGTGACGAGTGGGCGAGTTGGTGAAACGTCATTAATAGACTATGCGGCTCTGTACATGTGAGCGAGAGAGCGATATGGCACTGCAGGCCACTACCGCTGACACTTCTTGTTGCCATAGTAACAGGCTGCTGAAATTTCTGTTTATACTGGATGGAGGTGTTCGTCTAAATACCCCCGAGGTGCGTGACCCGTCTCCACCTGAATCGCGTGGATGTTGCCAACAGATTGCACACAGAGACTGACAGCACCCCTGCAAAAACGGTCGCTTCTCTTAAGTACGCAGAGCTGAGTAAACTCAATCACAGCTGGCCGGGGATGTCTGAGCTGTCACTGCAGGAGACCGATGTGTGAGAGCGAGCGCTGCCAGGATGGATATTACTTCGTGACTCATCACTGTGGGCTTCATCCACCAAAGCCCACTCGCCAGGGGTTCACCGGTGCAGGTCTGATGTGACTTTGTTTAAAGAATGAGGGCCTGGGCACAGGTAAAACTTTGGGGAACAGCGTGAGCAAAGCAAGTGGCAAAGAGCTCAGATGAATGTATTTGAATGCAAGTGGAGGGAAAAAGGAACGCCAACGTTTGATGACGACCTGATGTCTCTTAGTTTATTATTAAAACACAGCAGTGCAGGTGTCGGCCTCGAACATCATTAACTCATAAAACTAAAATTGAATTCATCCTGTAAAGCATTTAATGCTGCTATCACACAGTTTAACTGTTTGACAGGTTCAGGTAAGGAACACTTGTAAAGATTGAGGAGGGAAAAATCCCCAAAGCAAAGCAATGTGCTGTCACAGGTTGAAAGGTCAATTTGCCTTAATCAACAGGAACCTTTCCCCCGTTTTCTTTTTCTTTAGATCACACAGCGATTACAGATTGGGATGTGTAATTAATTACGGAACTTTTTTTTTAATCCATTACTTAAATTAAAGCCTAATATTCTCAATTTGTCTTTGTGTATTTCATTTCGAAAGTGCCCTTTGATTAATCCTAAAGCGTTCCCAAAATTCTGACATGAAAAGGGGAAAATTGCAGGCAGCGTGAGACGGCCTGCAACGCAAACAACGACAAAGACTTCAGACACGCAGGCTTTGAATAATTAACAGCTCTGCCTTCACGTGGCTGTAGCCTTACTGGGGTTAGGTTAAATAAACAATTGTTCAAATTTAATTACATTCAAAATGATGAGATCAGACAGGGCGGTGCGAGCGAAACGACAATTTGCGTAGTGTTGTCTTCACCGCCCGCAGCACAAGCTCCCACCCCGCTCCCCCCCCCTGCTGTGTGACACTGTCACAAAAGGCCTTCGGGCACAGATTTGGTAGAAATTCAATAATTAGAGGAGCGTTAAAAACAAAGCGGCTCATTCGCTCTCACTGGGATTTCTGAAAATTGGAAAGTGTTTTAGAGGAGACAGTCCTGATTCTGCCGCTCGCTAGTTAGTTGCAGTGTTGGATGTATTACAGCGTTTCAGGGCTACAAAACAGAAGCACACACACGTACACACACAAAAGGGATTAAATGTGCAACAACTTCAACAAACTGCAACGTTTAAGTCTGAGGAGGCGTAATCCTGTTCTTGTCAAACAAGCAGCTGTTTTTCTTCTTGTTTTCCGATGGAAAATTGGCAACAATGAGCTGAAGCTCATAACTGTGAGGAAGACTGAGCGGGGCTAACGTAAGACGGCAGCTTCATCGGCGTGAGTACGCACGCATTCTCAGCTATCCCAGTCTGCACTGCGTCCCTCTTCGTCCCCTCTGTCGTCCTCATCCGAATCAGCCGCCACCTTCTTCATCCTCATCATGGCTGCCTTGATGCTGCGCTCCAGCTCGTTGTCTCCGCCGCTTGGGACTTCTGCTCGTGCAGGAACCACCTACACAACGGCAAAGAAATACAGTTCACATTTTAAGATACCGCCTGCTGTGAAATCTGTAATCAGTACCAAAAAAGTAGCTAATAACATTATAGTAGAGAGCTACATAGCAATGACCCCGTTGGGATAACAACGACCCTGGAACTAGAACAGCTAAATGTATTCTAGTCTGTTATAGCCTAGGTTTTTACATATGCATAACTGTGGCTCCACGGTGCAGCAGTTTAGCACATTTGTCTAATATGTGAAAGATCCCTGGGTCGAGACCAGAAGGAGACACAGATCCAGCCTCAGGGGGTCACAAGCGAGTGTACTCCCTGTGCTGGACCCAAGCCTGGATAAATGGAAGGATTGCATCAGGAAGGGCGTGTGGTGTAAGATCTGTGCCAAATCAAATATGTGGCTCCATCCGCTGTGGTGGCTCCTCGGGAAATAAGGGAAGAGCCCAAAGTATGTTGCATGTATACTTGTGAAAGTTGATTCTGTTGATCTGCATTGTAGGGTTTGCAGTGGGTGAAGCGCTGAAGAGGTCACTTGGGTAACATCATCCACATCCACAGAATCAACTTTCTGGGCTTATAAAGGAGACGCCTGCATTCTCATAAAATAAAAAAGGAATTTACACGCACAACCTGTGAACAGCTTCATCGACCATTCCTTTAAAATTAGAAGCAAAATACCCAATTTTAAATTTACTAGCACTGTTCAATAATTCACTCCTTTGCTGTGCTAAAAAAGAATCCACACAGGGGAGCTGTTTGTTGTGCACAAGAGTGCACTCAAAGTTCCCATACAGCATGTCTCCTAACAAAAATTAGGACGTGAACAGCGTTTTGTGACAGCTCCTATAGCTTAACTACCTCACGAATGTGTTCTTCACCATTAATAGTCGGTCAGTAAAAAGAAATATTGTACACTGAGAACGAACGAGGTTTAATTTATGTGATCCACGTCCACAGCAAACGGCTCATAGCAAAAATACCGGTGGTCCTTAGTGAAAATGAAACTCCTTAAAACGTGTCACATTTACCTAAACACCGATGATCGCATATTACACAAACACAAATAAATTGTGCATTTGTTAGGTAGCATTTTCACATGCAGATTAATTCTTTATATTTGATATTTGGAAGTTTTTTTGGGGGGGGAGGGGTTGACACAAACTGAGCCACACTGGCTATTTTTCCACAGGTGAATAACCAACTCTCTCTGCTCTCTGGATAAACCTTTCTGTCGAAATCACTCAGTGTGACTTCTCTGTTCAGAAATGTCATCATATTTTTAACAAGTGACACATGCGGTGATGCAATCGTTCTGCAGTAAGCTAGCCGATCAACATATCAACATCTCACCTTCTTCAGGGTGACTCCCTGTCGGATGGCAGACATCAGACTGCTCCTTGCGTCCCCAGTGGGGCTCGGCGTGCTGGCCGCGGGGACCTTTCGAAGATTCATCTGTCCACGCTGTAGTGAAGCCAACACTTCGTCCATGGTTCCTACAAAAATACCAAAGTTAAAGGAGAAACACTGTTAAAGTGTAGGGGAAGAAGCTACACTGCTGATGAGCTGGTTCTTCCCAGTTCTTAGCTCGCTGTAAGAAACATTATTGAAACAGTTTCGTTGAGTGTGCTCCGTTTCACATGAGCTTATGAAAATGAAGTGCCGCTGGACGTTAGAGTCTCCTTGGAGCAGACAGCGTATATAACCAGGACCACTACTGCAGGTAAAATGCCTCCTCTGGCCCTGTGAGAGAAGTTAGGAATTTAGGACAGAACACTATGTGCAGACACACACACACACACACACACACAACCTTCCCAGCAGCCAAACAAAAATCACGTATCCTGCTCCATTCTTTTATTCTTCGTTGGTTTTGTTGGACATGAAGATCTGAATGATACTGCACGTATTTCACTCTCACCTATATTTTGTTTGAGCGTGTTCTTGGCTGGAAAAGGAGGGCCCTCTTTTTCACTCAGAGGCATCGGGGCATCCTCTGATGAGGGCGACACTCGGGGGGGAGGCAGCAGTGGCAGTGGCGGTGGTGGTGGTGGCGGAGGCGGAGGAGGGGGTGGGGCTGTTGGGGGAGGGGGGATGGCCGTGGGAGGAGGTGGCGCAGCGTAGATTTGGACAGGGATGTCTTTCAGCTGCTGCTTTTTAGCTGGTTTCTTGCGCCTTGGTGCGGGTCGGATGGAGGGAGGGGGTCCTTGAGAAGAGGGAGCAGGGCTGAGGCTGATGATGGACATCGGCTGCGAGGGGCACAGGCTTTCTGGAGAAGACGGCGAAGGCCTGGACTGGGGCGCTTTCAGGATGTACTGGCCCGGTCGCTTCTGGAAAAAAAAGAAGAAAGAAAAAAACCCCATCATTAGCTGAAGCTCATGCATTAATGTTTTGTTTTAAACAGGCACAGCGACTACATGAGATTAAAAAAAGTGACGGCAGATGTGCATCAAAGCCCCGCACAGTTAAACACGGACGAAAAAGCTGATCGTTTAAATCAGGGATGTCAAACTCATTTTATAATGTTGGCCACATACTTTGATCCTAAGTGGGCTGGACCTCCACTTTCTGTCAATGTAAAGTTAAACTACACATTTAATTTCTCATGTATTTTTATATAAGAAAAATAAGTGTAATTTCGGGGGTGCGTCAGTTTTTCTACATAATTAAGAAATACTGCTGTAAATAAATGAAAGAAAACTGGCAGCATGACTCCATAGGCTTAAATGATATATAATGGGATATAAATATGAGAAATAAATGTGCAAAATTCAATGAAAACATCTGTTAGTGCAAACTGTCCTGTGATTAGAAAACAACATTTTTTGTTAATTGACTGAATGTCTTTTTTCTTTTTTTTTACAGATTTTCTTAGCAGATAGATTCATCTATTTCTTATTTACCTTAGTGTCTGTATAAATGGCTATGGTGGAGGTCTTTATTAATTTATTAGTTAGTTCTCCTTCATATTTTCCAAAGCTGTCCAATGGGCCACATTGCAGTCTTTGGCAGGACGATTCTGGCCCTCGGGCCTCATGATGACACCCCTGGTTTAAACAAAATAGTCTCACCACAAAGGCTTCTCAGTTCTGCCATAAAAAGGACCAATTTCGACTGAAATACATAATAATTGGTTTGATTTTCCTGCTCACTATGGAATATACAGATATACTGTCAACAGTGAGCAGAGCATGTAGACGCTCACGAACAAGAGGACACAAGGGAGTGATTTTAAACACAAGAATCAGCCGTCTGAAATCTTGTGGGTGTATTTGTGTGCAGGTGGAATGACATCACAGTGTTGGACTTTCTGTGTGTGTTGCAGAGAGAGAATTTCCTGGGGCCAAAAACTTGTTTCGTAGTGACCTTTGACCACCAAGATCCAACATCATTGTTACATCTGGTTGCCATGACGCCCTGACGCAACCACAAATGGGATTTGAGCACATTTGTTAACCACTACACTATGGAGGCATTAAAAAAATACCAAGAGAGTGTTAATGTTTTGTTTTAAATAAGCAGGACCATTCATTCAGACACATCAATCAATGGAATGATTTCTAGTAGTTTCTGACCACTCAAAGTGCTACAAGCCCCCATCTTCTTTTTCATACATATTCATCCTGTGCACATGAGCGCTGCATCTACCGATTTAGAATCATCAGTTAATCTAACATGCATGTCTTTGGACTGCTGGAGGAAGACGGATAACCCCAGGAGGTTTGAATCCTTAATCGCCCGCTCGGCTTTTTTCTCGCTGTGAGGCGACGCAATGCCAGCCACTGCACCCCTGTTCTGCCAAATGATGTAGTCATCATCATTACCCAGTCATTATTACTGATGCAGGGCTCTCTTCCTGGGCTCACAGCTATTCTAGCAGCACTGAGGTTGCTTCAGCTGAATACTAATGCCATTCTTGATTAGGTGTTGACAATGGCATTGCTAACATGCTAGTTTAAGGTAGCGTCTAAGTCTTTTTTAGCAATCAGCACACTGTAAAGGAGAAGCTGATGGAAATGTCTTTAGTTATATTTGTATTTAAAGTTAAAACAGAGTCTGACTGTCACACTGAAAATGTCACTGGGTCACTGAAGTTATAAGCCAACAGAGAGCAGTCGTCCACGCACAGTTTGAAGCTCTGGTGTAAGACAGCTCATTACTAACAAGCCCGTCCACAGCCACAGCGCGCCGTCATCAGGACTTCCTCCGATGCGAGGGGTCGAGTGGCTAATAACTGAGCTTTTAGTTTTTGAGGTGAACTATTGCATTAAGAGGGTACGATGCAGCATCCCCCCGGGTTTTATTAACTCGGAGAGAGCTGCAGCAGAAGGCAGAGCAGAACGTGAGAGCGCCTGACCTCTCTGAAGGATCGTAATCGGCTCAGAGTTTTCTCCCGCTCCTTGTCCACCCACTCTTTCCTCCTCTGCTCCTCCTCCTTCTTCTTCTCTCGTTTCTGCAGACAACAGAGGGAGACACTGAGAGGCGCAGGAGAGAAACAGCGGCTTTCATTTGCTCCAACAACCTGGCTGACTTACGAGGTGGACCTGGTGATGCTGGTTGAAGACTATGGAGCTCTGTTTTTCCGCCAGGTGCTTCTGCTCATGTGCATCCGTGCACTGATCCTAAAGAGAGACAAAACATATCACTTAATCGCTCGAAAATACATTTTAGTCTGTCAGAAATTAGCGACTGTCTGAGCAAACGGTTAAAAAACTTTGAGAAAATGCAACTGCAACACAACCGGATTTTATTCGAAGGCCATTATTTGTAATTTTCCAATGCCCCTATTTTTTTAACTGCATTCCCTCCCTGTGAATTACTGGAAGTAACTATCGAGAGTCTTTAACCAGGCTGCCTTTCCCATTTTTTTGCTCTGAGTAATACTTTTTTGTTTTTTTAAATCAAATAAGCAAGCAGCCAACAAAAGAGGAAAACATGCCAAGTGCTTCAATTACCATGTCAGCTAAAAATAAACCAATGTAGTAAAAACATTTTAAAAACCCAGCATTTGGCACACGAGGCAGGCAGAGATGTGCCTTTGAAGGATCAATACATTTTTCCTTGGACAAAAAAACCCCCAAAACGCTTGAAAAATACAACTTTTTCTTTTTTTAAAGGACCACAGAATATGAAATGATTTCATGTCAGCAGCACTCGCACACACCTTTTTGTTACGCAGGTAAGCTCGGCGGGCACAGATGTTGCCCCTCTTGGTTTCCAGGGTCTGTAGGCGTCTTTTGAGCTGACTGACAGCTGGAGGGTCTGCTTGATGAATACCTGTGTGGACCATGCTCTGCAGCTCCTCCGGATCCTCGCACACATCGTAGTACACCACCTCCTCCTTCAGCTCTGAAACACAAACGCAGCCCAGTCACTCCTACATGTCTTCTGTTTATATGGCATCCTCTCCAGCCGTACGTCAACTGTCGCATCCCATCAGACAACCTAAATAACCAGTGTCATGCCCACTGCTCACGAGCAGCACAGGTAGTTGTCACAGGTAGTGCCAAGGTTACTTTTGTGCCAACTGTAGTTATGCAGCTTACGTGAAGTTAAGAAATCTGTTTACTTCCTGTTTAGGTAGCAAACTTACATCTGATTAAGTGTAAGCGGCTTAACGTTGGTAAAATTACTGCTAAATTATAAAAGCATCTCCTCAGCTGCTTATGAAACGTTCTGGGTCTCCTTGGCAACTGCACTAATTACAGTATTTGCATTGCAGTAGCTTTCTCCTTATTTACAGAACATCATATCTTCCTCAGTCCTCCAACTTTATGTTCACGAATAACAAATGACAGAGGGCGCGCTGCTGTTTCTTAGCTAGAAAACTACACCTGAGAGCTGTAAAGGTAAATATGCCCACAGCCAAAGTCACCACAGACACAGACAGCAAGATGCACACACAAACACCTTGGAAGCAAACATGCCCCCTCCCGCGAGGAACAATTAGAGAAACATTTACACGAACAAAATACAGCATTTCCCAGAAGGCACCTCTTTTCCACAACACACTGGCTGACAATCCAACACGTTATAATGCAGCGGGGAGGGGGGCATTGTGTAATGTGTCATTTTAATCATAACTGACAGAGAGTCTGAAGGGTGCTGAATCAGCGCTGTGGGAATTGTAGTGTTGGAATATATCGTAAGATGCGTTTAGAATATTGGACTCAAACAGGTGAGAGAAATATTAGAGACACACAATCAAGGACGATTATAAACACTTCATGCATAAAAACAAGCAGCACGCTTTTTTAAGGGCCAGTTCACCAAATGAAATAAGGAAAAATACCAATGTGCCAGAGGTTTGCAACATTTTCAGGAAGTTGGAGGAAAATTGCACAGCTGGTAAAGCTAGTATTTAATGTGGCGCTTTTAAAACAAAAAGCCGTTATTAGCATTAGTATATGGGGCTGTGCGATATGACCAAAATCTCATATCCCGATATAAGAATTCTATCGTCCGATAACGATATAAATCACAAAAATGTAACATTTTCTGTAAATTCTGTGAATCTCGGGCAGCTCGACTTGCGGGAAGTGTTTCCAGCTGCGCGTCCTTTACCCGGAGTCGAGTGTTTTAACCGAAGCATGAAACTATACATTTTTAGACACAAGTTGTAATGGTTGCCGTTTTCTTTGTGAGTATTTATTACACGGCGTGCTGCGGGGAAAAGCCTGTTCTAACGTTTGAGTCTAAGGTTTATTTTTTAGAACTTGGCGGCTCTTTTTTACTTCTCATCCGTAAATAATCTGCTCTTTCACGTGATTCAGTTTATTTTGAAAAGTCTCAACAGGATCTTAAGCTTTATTGTGAAAGGTTTATGTGGAACATAAACAAGCGGACACACGATGCTGTTACCGTCTTTGTTGCTAACCACAATGCTTAAAAACAGGCGCTTGTCCATCCTTAGTGTAGTTATATAAAATATAAGAGAAAGAGAGAACTTTAAGAAATTAATATAGCCACTACAGTGACCATCAAAATGATGAAAAAATATTGCCGTAAACAGTTTATTTTGTGACATCACGAAACAAACGACAGCGTAAAATGAAACGATAGTCATCCGATATATATCGTTATATGAACAGCCCTATTAGTATACTTCCATCTGAAATCCATGGAATATCCTCGAAGACCTTTAAATCTCAGTTAAAGGTTCAATGAGGCATGCCGTATAAAGCTGTTTGAGCACTCAGGGAGAGTAGACAAGCACTATATAAGAATCAGACCATTTACAAGGTGCCTTTTTAAAGATGGAATTATTCATTATTATTGAATTATTCATTCAGAAAATTAAGTAGCTTAGCAGGCAAACAAAGAAACAAACAAAAAAAGTTCTGAAAATGTTCGAGTACAAGGACCAGACTGAAAATGAGTGAAAAACAGCCGATAACCAAAGAAAACCTTTATCCTCCTAAGACCCGAACTCTTCCATGGCATGCATTTTTAATTTCTCTTTGATATTTGTGCATATTGGGACCCGATGAATGTAAAATCTTTTCTTTTGACCTGTTTTTTGTTTCTGAGAAAAATTGCATCCACATATGAATATATTTGTTTAAAATTTCGATAGCACAGTGGCAGTATAATGTCCTCGTAAGTGGATATCAGGCCCTTGTAGAGCAAAATTCAGTATTTTGGTCTAGACAACTCAAAATGTGATGTCCACATATGTGGACACCAGGTCCTAGGAGGAAGACCTTCAGAAAGCCTGGTTGCTCAAGACTGCTTCAAAAACAAGAAACTCTGGCACCGTGGAGGCTCAAGACTTTTGCAAAACACGTGTATACATACCCAAAATAAATCTGCTGTACAGCACAGCTATATAAATGTGAGGATACCTTTAATCTGTCGTCTCAAGGTGTCTATCTGAGCCACCAGGAGCTGCTCTTCATTTTTCAGGATTTCAAACTTGGCGTCGTAGAGTTCTAGCTGGGTTTCGTAGAACTGCAGTTCCAGCTGGTCCACAGTGTCCTGCTTCTGGCCGTCCTCAAACGCAGACCTTAAATCGGCCCTCTGGCCTTGGGCTCTCACAGAGAGGTTCTCCAGCTGCAAGGCAACGGCAGAAAAATGTTACATCAGCCCCGCTGAAAGGATCATAACGGTCGTTTGTGGGGAGATAAAAAAAAAAACAGTCGTTTGTATGCATACAGTGACTACTTTGTGAGGCAAGTGCTACTTTTTGACAGCTCGCTACTTGTCCTTGAACATTATGATCAAAATAGGCTTTGCTTTTAGCCAAGCTACTGGCAAACACACACACACACACACACACAAGATAAATCTGACATAAAAAAAATTAAGCATTTGTGATGGACTGCCTATCTGAAGACAGTTTAATCTCTGCAAGCTTTCATGCTGTGATGAAATGAGCTGAAACCAGCAGCTACCTGCAGCATGTGCCATGCATGAGCTTTTGCATTCAACGCATTCAAAATGCAGCCTTAAAATGCTCTTAATTATGTCGAACACAAATACACACGCTGCTGGAATGTGACACAGCTGCCACAGAGACTGAAGCGGCACACTCACGCAAACATCTGGGATATCCGCAGGCATACTGGCATGCTCTAAAGAGTCACCGAGCTGTGTTGCCCCCAGCGCAAGAGTTTGCGTAGGTGTAGCTCGCTGATCTCGTTATGAACACTCGCACACAGCTGCAGATGTAAAGGCTCGGGTTGATTTCACAGTGACGGATGACGCCAGCGTCCTCAAACCTCACTTTTTTTTTTTATTATTTAAAAAGCTTAATGGGATGGGAATGCAGCCGTGTGACGGTAAAGGTGTTGCGGTTGTTCTCTTTGCTCTTTTCAAGAGCTCAAACGCACAGCATGACCCCCGTGAAGCAGCAAGTGATCCGGTGCCGTACCGTCCCGAAAAATGCCGTGATCCTGACATGAGAAACATCCTCCTGGTGCAGTCACACATTTGTGTGTAGCTGGCACATTTTGAGTATGCATATATGCACCCAGACACGCTCACTTATTCATGCGTGGAGGGGGATTTTTGTGATTGGGATGGGGGTGTATTGAGGGGATTCTCTATGTTTTCAGAGAAGCTTTATAAATAGATCAAAAGGAACAGAGCAGCCACAGACTCACATCAGACTGGAATACCAAGTGAATGATACATGAGAGCGAGTAGGCACCGTGTCACATCTCTACTGACTTACAACCACTACAAAAGCAGCGTTGGCCTTGGCACGGAAATAAAGACATGAATGATAACTAAAGCCTTACAACTCACTCACTATGTATTAACAGACCTTTCTGCATTGAATCATATCTGTTATTAACCTCTGTCTCTCTTCCACAGCATGTCTTTATCCTGTCTTCCTTCTCTCACCCCAACCGGTCGCAGCAGATGGCCGCCCCTCCCTGAGCCTGGTTCTGCCAGGGGTTTCTTCCTGTTAAAAGGGAGTTTTTCCTTCCCACTGTCGCCAAAGTGCTTGCTCATAGGGGGTCATTTGATTGTTGGGTTTCTCTCTGTATCTATGAAGCGCCTTGAGGCGACTTTTGTTGTGGTTTGGCGCTATATAAATAAAATTGAATTGAATTGAATTGAACTGCGCCACATTCTAGTGAGATGTTACCAAATGTGCTGAGTAATTACAGAACCACTGGAAAAGCAGCTGATACTAATGAAAAAGAAAGAAAGAACGAAAGATAAAATGGACACGCACCCTCTCCTTGATGCTGTCTTTCTTGCGGCTGAGGCACATCTCGGTGGCTCTCATGTGCTGCAGGGTTTCTTTGGCCAATAGGAAGCGGAGTTTTTCCAGCCTGGGAGCCGCTGACGCCCAGGCAGCGGGTCCAAAACGACACTTATCCTCCTCCATCTGTTTCACCATACCTGGAAATGTGCACAAGGAGCTGTCATGTATATATAAAGGTTATAATTTTTTCCTTACAAGTGTGAAATGAATCCCGTAGTGTAATCATAAAGGCTTTTCTTTTAAAACCATTTCCTCTGAAAACAATCTTTTTGGAGGTTTTGATCATTTACACATTTCATAATTAACCGAAACATCCACGCAGATATAAACACAGCGACTTATACCAGCCAGAGCCTTTGAAGTCTGTGCAAAGTAGGTGACAGTGATGTCCTGAATCGAGGCGACTGCATCCTCTGCTTTTTTTCTCCACTCCTCCGCCTCCTTTTCCAGAGCTGCAATTCTCTTAGGACCCAGTTCCTCAAACTCCAAAGACTTCTGCAGACAACCACAGCAAGCAAAACGGTCTTTACTCAAGGGCTTACCTGTCCGTAAGAAGTATGTATTAACTGTGCATTCATGCGAGCTTTATTCATATTTGGATGAGTGTAAAAACAAATTCTGACCTCTCTTTTCCCTCTAAGTGGACATAAATATTTTCCCTACACCACGCTCACTTTTTACATGTCATTCCCCTTGCATTCTCCCCAATTTCCTGATACTCTTTACTGTCCTATCAAAAATAAAGGCTAAAAATTCCCTTTAAAAAAATAATGTTCTTTAACCTACATCACAGAGTTTGAGAACCACATTGGACATAGTGATGCAACAGGTCAGTCTATTCATGAGTGCTGTGTGTGCATCATGTACAGTGTGTCCTTAAAAAGACTGGGTAAGTGGAGGACAAAAGAAGAAGTGGCAGGTCTAAAATCTGTCTACAGCAGGTAAACAGCATGTGGAAGTCATGTCTTTAAGAAACAGGAATACATCCAGCAAAGTCCTGACACAGGACCTGAGAGATCCTTGTGATGTTTTAGTTGATCCATCTACTGGTCAATGAAGTAAAGAAGCGATTCTTAAGGAAGGGAAACAGGGAGAAAAGGGCTGAGGTTTGCCAAACTACAAAAGAACTAGACTGACAAATCACTGACAACAGATCTTATGGAGTGATGAACCCAAATTGGACATTTTTGGTTCAAATCACTGTCAGTGATTGTTTACAGCCATCTGTAAAACACGGTGGAGGCTCCATCATTGTTTGGGGCTACGTTTCATTCAGGGGTGTTGTCAAAACTGCTGGAATTATGAACACAGAAAAGTACCATCACATTTTGGTCCATGTTATCAAGAAAGCACCTAATTGGCAACGCCTTCATTTCTCATCATAACAATGATCCCCAAACAAACTGTGAGTGCAGTAAAAGTATACCTGGATAGAGAAACACATAATAAAACACCATCAGTCACAGACTGGCCTCTCCAGAGCCTGGACCTCAACTTTACTGAAGCAGTGCGGGATCAGCTTGACAGAGAACAGAACAAAAGGCAGCCAACATCCAAAGTTTTGAATGTCCTTAAAGAAGCCTGGAGAATTATTCCTGAAGACTACTTAAAGAAATTACGAGATTGTTCAGGCCGTGTTGAAGAAATTTTGTACAATTCTAACAAGCTTAAAAGTCAATCTCTGTTTTTGCCTCACATACTGTATTTTTAGCTATGTTTATATGTTTTGATAAATCACTGAAATATTTCACATTTTCCTAGCAAAATATAAAGAAATGAGGGGGTGGCTCAAGACTTTTGCATACTATTCTAAAATCCTCCCTTTTTTTTGTTTTCATCAAAATCTTAACTTTCTGATATTAACACTAAGTACATCCCCTGCATATAATTGTGTACAACATTCTAACAACGTGTGTATTTACAAGGATGTCCATCTTGTAAAGGCAGGCCAGCTCTCTCATGTCCCTGAAAGGCTGCAGCAGGTACTGGAAGAAAGTCGTGGCAACAGTCGCCAGGTCCTGGTAGGCCTCGTCTTCTTCCTCATAGATGCTGAGCAGCATGACCATCCTGTCAGCACCGCTGTGACTTTGTAGCAGCTGTGGAGACAAAAAAAACATAAACACCATGATCTGGGTTTACCCTGAGCCCACAGCTTAGTTTTGCTCTGTATGACTTTTCATACTCAGAATGAACCAATCCAATCTGTGCCAGCTAACATAAGAGTCGATAACTAGGCCTTTCAGAAAACAACTTGGGTGGGCTGAAGGTAGACTTGTGAAGACACTTCAAGATGAGGTTAGTGGTTGAACACCACGGGGATTCTTGGACCTGGTTCTCCGGTGTTGACCGCTGAAGTCAAACAAATTCAGGTATTAAAAAACATTTTATGTGAGAGTGATGACATATTTGGAACTGAGACTGAGAAAATGTTAAATCGCTTGGATTCAAAATATGTAAATAGTTGGAAAATCAAGCGTTATCTATGCCCTGACATCTTCCAGCATACAAAGGGAACAATGTTTGCTTTAGCCATTAAAAACAATCAACGCAGCACCACAAACCTGCATCTGAGACAACATAAGCAAAAGCTGGATAAGATGTCATAAAGGTATCATTTACAGCAGAACCGTAACAGTGGCTTATGTAGACATAATACCGGCATTCTGATACATTTATTCTACTCGTAGCGGTGCCATCAACAGTTTTTCTTACAGGTCCACTTGCTCATTGTTTCTGTGACCAATTCTTGATCAGAACCTTACATCTGTGTAAGGAAACAAACCAGCACAACAAGCACATTTTCAGCTCAGCGAGCTACATCATGATGTCTTTGGAGACAGGTACAGTGTGGGCATGTAAAAACTCAGCTACCATAACTCAGACCACATTATTTTGATAAAAGGACATGATAAGCTTGGAGGCATGCATTCCAGCAATCTTCAGTGGATCTCGAATGGAACTAGATTTCTGTTTCAATGTGAAGCTGACGTATTATGCTCTTCAAATGCTTCATTGGTCTATTGGCTGTCATTTTACTGCTTTTACTTCCATTTGCATGTGAAACAAACTAAACAGAGCTAAAGGGTCAGATTGCAGGTTAAAGCAGCAAACAAAGACCAGCGCTGGTGGTGTTGCAACATCTAGAGCCTTGGCTGGAGCAGCAGCTGTGGTTTGATGTGTCATGGTAGACCTGATTTAGGCTCACACCACCACTGAGAGGTGGCAGACTAGACCTTTAAACTTCTTGGGATTAGAGAGCATGCAGTCTTTCTCAGACTTCAGGGACTCCTGTTTCTAAGATGTTGTAAGACTTCTCCTATCATAGATGGGGCACCAAACAGATACAGGGCCTGTGTTGCCGATACCGATGCCAATACTTTTGCCCTATAAAATGTAGATTACAAAGGGGAGAGCGGTGTGCCATGATTACTGATTGATTCATCATTAATTTACACATTCTGAACACATTTTAATGACCACTAAATCACTGTGATTTTTACTTTCCACATTAATTAATTAACACAAGGTGTTTGGAAACTGATTTTCTGGAGACCTGGAATGTAAATGTGCTTGCCTCTAAAACACATTTATTTAACAAAATCCAGTGGGCATACTGCACTTAGGGAACAAAAACAAAGTCTCAGTCCTATCGCGCTGGTATCGATATTAGATCGATCCGCCCACCTCTACGCCTCACCTGTCTCAGGTGACCCTTGGCCCTTGACATCTCCTCCTGCAAGCTTTTCTTTTTGAACTCCTGTAAATTCTCAAAGTACTCCTCGACATCTCGGTCATCCTGTGCGAACAAGGTGTCGAGAACGATCTTCCGTCCGCAGAGGTCAATAGCGGTGCTGAAATACTTCTCGAGTTTCCTACACGGGGTGTCATAGTCCCTCTCCTCGTCATTGTCTGGACCTGATCTCCTATTCAGGAAGAGCAAGTCCCAAATGTTGCCCTCTTCAAACTCCGTCAAATCCGGGAAGCAGCCTCCCAGGACGTCGGCCACGCAGGTGAACTGCTGGTGGACGTGCTTCAGATCGCTGACGGAGAAGAGTCCTGCCCAGCTCATCTGAGGGTCGTCGGCGGCAGGCTCGGATTTGCGCTTCTGCCGCTGTAACGTCCGGTTGTGGCAGGTGACGGCGAACTTACACTCGATGACGTTCCACTGTACGATGAAGCCCAGTTTAAAGGCCTCATCTTCCTCAAATATATTGCTTTTAACGGCCACCCACCCCTCCAGACTGTCTAGCCGCTCACACTCTATGCTGTTCATCTTAAAAAGAGATATTTCACCCTGGCCGAGAAGCTGCTGGCTCTGTTTACAACGTCCGCCATTTGTGTGACGTCAGTTGCCTTCACCAGTCCCGGAAGTTATCGGTCAATATGAGCTAACGGTTTTACTAACACAGATATCTACCTTTTAAAGAATACGCTGTTTTGACATAGAATGGTAACCACGAAAAACCCAGACTGGGTCACTAAGAGCAGGCGGGTCCCGATACAGAAATGTCTAATCCAATGCGTTTGATATGTCTTAAACTAAAGTTTACGAGGAACCTTGAATGCACCATAAGCCTCTGGTACTGCCTTGAACTTTGACATTTAAATCACATGTTCGGGGATTTCCAAATCCTAAAAATTAAAGCATTTAACTTTTAGTTGTTGTTCCTTTAGAATGTCAGCAAATCTCGGACCTCTGCAGACTTTCGACCACGTTTAATGAATCTATTTCATTAATAACGAACTTCCTGCGTAGATGTTTGGCATGCCTGTGAAATGTGAGCAAACACAGTCCCATCTATTTCTGTCACTGCGGATACTGCTGCTGGCCTGAAAAGGTTGTTTAAGAACCAAACGACTCCCTTAAATTTCCAGGTAAATTTGTTATCAGCTGCTTGCTCACTGTGGCAGTTCTGCCTTGTTAAATTCTCCTCCGATGCAGTTTCAGGACACTAACGGGTACTTAAGCCTCAGTCCTCGCCTGAGTCCTTGTCATCATGGACTTGTATGAGATCAGAGGAGGCAGGCTGGGTGTGATTGCAGAGGAAGCCGAGCTCCAGGAGTTAAGCAGAGAGTCTACTGCCATGGACAATGTAGGCTCACCTCCATCTCCCACTGGAGCAGAAGATGGAAGTGATGGTGAGGAAGATGCTTTTAAGGAGGGAGAAACTGAGGTGAGGACACTAACTAACTACCTCTGTTCAGCCACAGTCGTCTCATTGCATTTAATCACTTCTCTGAGAGAACGCCAGCACAATACAGAAGAGTAAAATGAATAGCTGAGTGAGGGGAAACATCTGATTAAGATACACTCATAGTAAACAGCAACATAAACTCTTAACTGTTACCCCTCATTGTAGTCTGTGTTGCAGGTTTGAATTAAATGTGAAAAGAGCTCAAGCTTGCGTTATGACTGCTTTCAGGGGGAGATCATCTTGATTCGCGATCAGCTGCAAGAGAAGGTTGCAGAGATGGAGAGCTTTGCTGGTCACCTGGAAGAGATCTTCCTTACAGTGGAGGTACTACTCAAACGTCCAGTCTGATCTCCTTTGTTTTGACATAATTTTACTGTTTTATTATCATATGAATATGCAGAGATGCTTTTTTCCTTCTTTTTTTTACACATAGACTGTAATAAAGTCGTCACAAGCCCATTTTATTACATCAAATTGTTGTTTTTTTATTTGTTCTTTCCTGTAAAACAAATGTGTTACCCTCTAACTCTCTCATATTATTGCACGTACAGGAGAATTTTGGCCGTCAAGAGCAGCACTTGGAGCAGCACTACAATGACGTGCTGCAGACACTGTCTCAGCGACAGGATGAGAGCGCGGCAAGGTTGGAGGAGGAGAAGAAGAGTAAGCTGGAAGCCCTGTACGGTCAGCTGCTGGCCTGTGGTCAGGCACTCGATGCCTCCAAGGAGCTCATCGAGACAGCGCAGGAGGTCTACCGCAGCCAGGACAAGAGGCTTTTTTTGAAGGTGATAAATGATTCCACTGGATCATATTTGCAGATGGCCCCAAAAATAAATAAATAAATAAATAGAACATGGCCAGCTAATGCAATTGTGGATATGAAGCATTGATTAGCATTTATTCATTTATTTATTTTGCTATTGAAATGATTTCTTTGGATTTTATTGACAGACAGTTATGCCCACAATTAAAAGGTAAGCATGAGGCTGCACAGTGAGTCTGCACAGTGTGACACTGCAGGTGTGATATTAAGAGATCGAGCATCAATAACATGTGAGATTTGTCTTCCCTTTAGTTTTATTTAACTTGATATATTTTAAAATCCCAGTTGAAGGTCCACTTACTGAACTTAGCAAATGAAAACAAATAAAGAACCTTGAACCTTGAACCTAGCACAAAAAGTAAGGAAATTTGTATTTGGTCAATTATTTTATTTAATTATTTTTTTGTAAGGTTGCTTCCTGCCAATAAACCTATACGTTGGAAAGCCTGTTTATTTTCCCTTAAATGTAGCCACATTTATTAAGGAAAATGCATTTGTGGGCTGAGCAGCAGAGTTGAGTATGTGGGTCGCGCCCTTGAAACACATGCCAAATTTCCTCTTCCAATACCAGTCAGCTTATTCTGCTACTGACTCTTGTTTGGTGTAGTTTACTGGACTGGATGATTAAAGTCTGAAGAAACAATTTATTCATTTAACAAACAGGGCCCTGAGTAGCACGTGGAAGATCCACACACAGCCACAACAGCCTGGCACCTCCTCCTCATGCTGGTCACCAGCTTGGTCACACACTGCTGTGGGATGGCATCTCAATATGGTTGTGTTGGCTGACTTGCGACAAATGCTGTTAAACTGACAATATGTCTTATTTCTTCAGACTTCAATCATTCATATTCATTCATGGGAACAACCCACAGACACAACTCTGCTGAACAAACTCCATCCACTGTACAAAACATGCTTGCATGCTTGATGAAAAGCACGTAAAGTATTTATTTTATGGTCAAACTTTGAACGTTAGCCTGATAACGCACTGCACGCTTTTTAAAATCAGGGCTTTTTTTTGTTCTGTACCACACTAGAATCGAGGAGTTTGCCAAAGACGAGGTTGACCTCACGCTGTCTACATGTCTTGAATTCAACACGCCGCTCGCTGACCTGTCGGATGTCAAAACCATGATGGACTCGATCAACGTTGTTCCAGGTCTGAATCTACAAATCGCCTCCTCTGGTTCACTTTCCGCCTCCTTCTCCGTCACTTGAAAAATACCAATCTAGGAACACGCCGTGTCTTGCGTCACTGAAAATGAGAATCCTAATAATAGGAATCACACAGAGGTGTCAGTGTTGAGCTTCAACCAGAACAGAGCTGTCTTAACATTTAGATTTTTGTACTTTAAAAAGACTTCTTGATAACTGTGCTGAATTTACAGTGAATCTCTGTCAAACAACCCCCAGCTCCATCTGCCCCAGTAATCAATCCCCAGATGCCCAACTCTGCCACTCAGACATCCCTGCGTGTGTGCTGGAGCTTGTTCTCTGATGACACGGTGGAGTACTACGAGCTTTACTACAGGCCGGTGCTGGAGGATACACCAGCTGACAGCGCCTTCACACCGCAAGGTATAAACCAGAGACGCTCCCTGCAGATGTGCACTGCATGATAATGTCACCATCTGCTGCTCAACTTGTATCTACTGATCTCCCTGAAAATATTGTGATCTAAAGGTGTGCTCATCTTTTTGTTTTTTATTTAAGTGAGCAAGGTAACCTTGAAGGAGACGCACTGCACCGTTGCAGATTTGCTGCCCAATGCTCAGTACGAGCTCTGGGTGATGGCTACCAATACCACAGGCATCAGCCCAGCCAGCGAGAAGGCCTTATACATGACGGGTAACAAATGTCACTCTCCAACTACGTGAGGAGTTCTTAAACTTGTGGCAGTTTAAAATAATAATAGTTCTGCCACTTTCCTCAGCTTTGCAATCACTCCAGAGTGGCGTGTTGGTGGGAATAAAACTCTAAATCCTCTCTCCCCTAGTGCCATCACCTCCAGTGATTAAGCAGAGGGAGTGCAGTAGCTGTCCAGAGGCTGCTCTGATCCGCTGGGAGTCAGGAAACACCAACCCCGTAGACTCCTACACGGTGGAGCTCAGGGAGATGGGTGCAGACGGCACAGAGAGCAGCATTACCGAGTAAGAGGTGTTATTAACGAGACCAATTTGGCAAGCTCAAAATTTAACCGTGCTCTCTCCTTGAAATCTGTCACTTTGAAAAGGCCGCGCCTAGAGTTAAAGTTAAAATAGCTCGGTAAAAATAGAAGCACTTCGCTGGAAACGCAGAGCTTCAAAGACGCAGTACCCCGTGATATTAGGCTCCACTGGATTTTTTCCTTTGATAAGGCTTATGCTTCAAAATAAACAAGCTGGTGTTAGTGCTTGCCTGGGAAGTTTTGTTTTTTTTGAGGTCCCATGGATATAGAGCTGCTGAATCAAGATGCACTCTGTCCTAGAAAATCTATTCTTAGCTTCAGCCCTTGCAGTGCTGTTGGCCTCAGCTAGAATGCTGTGCCCACATTTGGGGTCATTTTCATTTCTTATCCAGTCGCTCTGGAGAACACTTTAACACTGTGCAGTAAACTATCTTTTTATTATGAATTTTTTTTCAAGGTAGACTTAAACTAAAGAAAATTTTCAATTATCAGTATATACAAATATAAGTTTCTGTTTAACCGCCAGAATTTCAAGGTGATCTTTCAGTGATTTGTGTTTTGGTAACCATACACAATAAAATACAGTTCACAAAGTGATCACTGTTCTGCATTTACTATATATTTAAAGGAGGACGCATGACCCTCATGTCTCAATTACAACCCCAGGTCTATTGTAGCAGTGCCCACCTGTCAGTGTCTGATCCAGCTGCAGCCAGGACGTTACCTCATCTCTGTGAGAGCAGTCAACATCGGAGGGCCCAGTGACAGGAGTGAACCAATTACTATCACCACGACAGGTGAGAAACAACTGGGATCAGCGTTTTCATTATGCTTTTGGCTCACTCATAGGCGGTATGGACCTTATCTTATAAAGCAGGACAGTTATGTCTGTTTGTAACTTTTAGCATCTACTTGTTGAGATTCCTTGTTCCATGTTTGAGACTCCTTTCGCTCAGAAAGAGCATACAAGTTTATTCATTGTTAGCCTTGTATAAACAGAGGTTGCACGATTAGAATAAGTCAATCTGATGTCCTGTGTTTAAGCCGTAGCTTAAATAAATATACCTTCTTACTACATACATGGATTCAGGCAGAGTCTTTGCAATCAAACACCCATTTACCTGTGCAGGTACGTTTTTCTATCTCCTGGAGGACACTGCCCATCCTT